ATTCTAATGATGACGGAATTGAAATGACTTGCATGGGAACCAGACAGGTTATTTTCCTTCACTTGGAGAGAATGCTTAGGACCTTGCCTTGTTGGAAAAGGCTCTTGGTCTTTTAGGGTCATAGAAAAAGGGTCCATCTGGGGCAAGGATGCTGCCTGGGAAGAGAGTCTAACGGGTGGTGAGCAGACTCTGAGGCTTAAGCTGCTCTGTCCGTCAGACAGAGGAACTGGTGTGGGTGAAGATCTTTAGGAAACTGAGTTTGATTGCAGTGGAAACTTGGGAGCTTGGCAGAAAATTGGGGGGAAAATCCAAGAACTCTAAAAATTCAGAATTTCATTAATGGGTAGATAAAGATAATTCTTTTCTGTGTCTACTTAGCTCTGAAAATGTGGTGCAGCCCCATTGGTATTTACAAGGCCAACAATACCTCCTAAGTTTTACATTGTTGGTTTATACACTTATGAATAAACCGTAGGTGGCCAGAGGCTTCTGACTCACAATTTTACCCATATCGTTTAGATGTACCATAATGAGTGGTCCCTTATCCTCCAATGAAGTGATTAGTCCTTAAATATGTGAAATAGTTGGACTTTGATCATTGCTGGGGTTGGCTTACCCTTAAAATGGCTATCCCCTTCCAAAACATCATTATTTATCATTAAAGGTGTAGCCCAGAGAGCTATCAAACGACATGGTTTACCTAATGACAGGCATAGAAAGCTTGATCTTACAACCTAGGTCTGTTTGGAAACACTGGATTTCATGCAGTGGAGGCACATGGGCAGGCCACGGGACCTTGGATCATGCCCCTCAAGGTCTGGGCGTGTGCTACAGAACTCACCAGAAAGTTACCTTAATGGAATGGAGAAATAACTCAGTCAAGGGTGTTTTCAAACTCAAGCTTCATAATGCATATAGATTTCATTATAAAAATATCATTCCTTAAAAAAATACATAAATGTAAAATATTCCATTTCTAATCACCACTCCTTACTCCTACCCCTGTCATACTCATCTTAGACTATCATGAATGGGCACACCTCTCAGTTATGGCTCAATCACACCATTTGAGTCCATCTCTCTTCCTTTTTCAAGCTATGCCATTGTGCTTAAAAATATGCTCCCAGACCCAGAGAAGGGGTCCACAAGTCCCCCCCCTTCCCTGTGAGAAGGACTGCGGAAGATCATATGCTGCCTGTGCCTGCCCAGGAATGTCAGAGAATGATATTCAGACCCAGCTGAGAACACAGGAACATGCTCGGTTGATAGATGGGCATAGACAATGTCCAAGCTATGTCCACTTTATTCCCCCTGGGCCTGACCTGCAAGGTTCTGCCTCAAGGCTCCTGTGATGAAATTCACAGCTCTGAAGCCGTCTGGGTAGGGGTGGGGAAGAGAATGTTGTGTTAATACAGCTTTGGAATACAACCTGCGTTTTGTTTTTTTTTTTTTTTTTAAAGGACAGAAAAGAAGAACATAAACAGCAATGCTAAGGCAAACTTTCAAATGGCACATCAGAACTCTGTTTTTGTCATTCATTTTGTTCACATCACAAGGCAGATACATTCTGTAAACATACATACCATACAGTACAGTAACCATAGGAAAATAAAGAGAAAGCCACCCTGTAATTCTTTTCTTTCTGTATTTCTGTTCTTTCACTCCAGAAGGACTGCCTGAAGTCTAGGGAAAATTTTATGGTTCACGAAATATACTTTTCTTTTCATAAAAATGCAGTGACTTGCAAAAAAGAGCCCCCCGTTGACTAGGAAGAGGCATTATGGGGAGAGGAGGACCATTTACACCTCAACCTATAGAAACTTAGAAAATAGTCACAAAATCTAAAAAAGTCATTAATTTTCAGGAAACATTTTGGTTTCCGCTTAGTAAAAGAGAGCATTGAAAAGTTGTTTTTGTTTTTGTTTTTTTTACAAAAGTTAAGGCTGTCCAGATCTTTGACGCAGAAAGCCTGTGATCCCCAAAATTACATCTTATATTTTCAAGTTGAAAGCAAGGTTTCATGCAACAGTTCTGACTTTATGTTAGATTGGAGCGGAGAGGGGAAGCAGAGGCCTATTTAAGTCATATAAAAATTAAGGGGGGTGGGCAAGGCTGGTCTAAGAATCCCCAGGGAAGTTGCCCTTTGAAACTTTCAGGATGTAATTTTTATTTTTTTCTACATTCAAATAATAAGTATTTTGGTTTTTGTTAAAATGGGAATTTTATCTTAGAGTTCGCTGAAGCTATGAAAATACAGACACATAATTGCATTGTGCTCCTCACAAAAGCCTGACTTTTCTTTGTCCCTAGAAAATGCAGGCCAGTTTTCCTGATAAGACCAGAAGGCTATACAATGAAAGTCAACTAGCAGCAAGAATCAAAGATCTCATCTTGCTGGTTTCTTGGAGCTGTTTTGGGATATATACCATAACTCTGTTTACCTGCTGGGTTGTACTGTCCAACAGGACAAAGGATATTTGCTGGTTCTACCCTAATCAGTGGAGTTCTATATACCTTGATACATAGTAAATTGAGGAGCTTCTAAAAGATTGCATATTTATGAAGTTTCAAAACTTATCTGTGGTTTCCATAACTGAAGGTGCATGGTGTGGAAATGCAACTTAAAACTGCTTGCCTTGGAATGGTTTTTACTGTAAACAAAGTAACCCTTTGGGAGATGAGACTATTCCCACAAGGAATGGGCCCTTTGGTGAGCGGAACTGCACAGTGGGTCCAGTGACAAAGAGAGATGGCTGAGCGTCTAGATTTTCGGCAAGAATGACAACAAAAAGTCTTGTGTGAATATTTTGTCTGTGTTCACCTGTGTTTTAAACGGACAGGGCGAGTGCTTTTTAAAAAGGAAGAGCTGGTTTAGTGGTTCCATTTTTGCCTCTGTCAGCATATTCCCTCCCTCCTCTTTCGCTATCCATTGGTTCACTGGTATTAAATAAATGGTCATTTCAACGGTGTTCCCTGGTCCTTTGAAATGAAATTCTGCAGGAAGCGAAGAGAAATGAGCTGTTTTCGCACTTGGCCTGAACGTTTTGCTCCGGAGAGGATACTGTACCTTGATGTTTTCTCCCCTTTTATAAAAAACTTAACCCTAACCAAAACAAAACATTCTACTTGTATGTAGGAAAAAGCATGTTTATGACCAGGAAGTAAAACAGAGTTGGTGGGAATTTAAAGCTATACATGTATATGAACAGTTCAAAAAGGAGTCAAATCTAATGAACTCTAGAATTTGAGTTTCCTGAAAGTCTGAATACTTTTAGGTTGCTCAGGAGGCTTGGGGAAACCATGCTTTGGGTTTGACCAGAAGGGAATTCCCTCGCTCCTCATCCACTCTACAGCCAGTATTAAGTGACATCACTGGACACCGTTAAATCACTTTTAGAGGCAACAAATTTTGCTTATAGAAGGAATTAATAGAATTAAGGGCAAAAGTGGTACAACGTAAAAAAAAAAAAAAATTCCCCTTAGTTTGTCCTATTGCACATCCAAGAAAACAAAGGCAAGGATATACAAGTCATCGAGATTTGTCAGGATATGTACGGTTAAACTTTATCATTTTAACCATTAAAAGATCTTTAATTCAATGCCACTGAAAATCTGTAACAAATGAAATATCCCTCCTTTCCCTCTTTCTCCTCTTTCCGTCTAAATTAGAACTGGATATATAATTTTAGAAGACAATCCAACTAACCATTGGCTCAAAAAGACCATGGTTTTACAGCTTCGTTACTGGTTCTCTAATTAGTCAGGTTATGTAAGTCAATACCCTGTATTTTTGGAAGGTGTGATACCATACAAAATAAAGTTTTTACAGAGACAATAATGGCAGGGAAGGCAGAACGTTCTCAATCACGACACTGAGGATATGTTCATTATGTAGTTACTTGTTGCTGTAGGTGAGATTCTAGGTCTTATCCTATAAAAGTACTGGCTGACCCTAAATCCTCTATTTTGATAGGAAAATGATGCAAAATAAGCAAATATATGCCATATTCAAACAAACCATTTACTATGGCCACATATCATTTTAATAAAGGTAACATGTCTTCCTTTAAACCATTAAATGGTAAGCTTTAATAGTAAAATTGTAAAGAGACCTCTAATTCATATAATTTGCTAATCCCTATAATGATAACTGATGAATGAAAGTGCAGATTATCATTGGTCTTCCAGATCTGTTGTGTAGGGTTGCGGTGAGAGGGGCAGATCATTTTCTTCATGAGGAACTAGCTCACTACGGAAGGACGGGTAGGTCATTTCTGGGAATTATCTGTCCTCAAAGACTGATTCTGTTTATCAAACAGCAAGCTCAAGGGTTCTACATTCTACCATTCCACTCACTAATTGTGCTTTTAAAAACTCCTATTGGATCGTTGTAATCCCTAAATGAGTAAAAAAAGATAAATTATGGTAAGCTTTTAGATTGTTTCTTTATTAAATTATTAAAATAATAGATTGTCCAGACATTGAAACTGTTCTCATTTTCTACGTAAATAGGTTGATCTGGCACGTCATTCTCTTCAACATTTAAATGAAGCATAAGTGACCATTGACTGAGGAGCGTGAAGCTGAGTGGGGAGATTTCTAGGAAGAAAAACCAGATGCTATTCCGAGATAAGACAGCAGCTTTATTCAACTGCAGCTGCTTTGGTGAACCTGAGATTATTTGGAGGGAATCCCCTCTACTATTCAAAAGCAAGCCATTGATGGAATCATTTTAGCTCCTTTATTTGTCCCTTCTTAACTTTTTTTTGCTTACCTATTGGTAATAAAGTGACTGACTTCGTGCTCATTGAAATGTAATTTGAGAGAAATTAACTTTTAACAATAAAAATGTCATTTTCCCCCCTTTCCATTTGGAATAAATATAAGTTCAAGCCAAGAAACTCATAATATTAACAGTTAGATTTAGCACTGAGAAAGCTATTTAGGACAAATTTAGTTGGTTCAGCAAAGAAATTCTCTGAAGACTACGTTATTTTTTTCTTGTCTGCTTTCTACAGAGGTTAGACTTGATGGAGCATGACTTACTGTATGTTTTTTAAAACTATGTTCTATAGAACATAGATATATTTTGTGAATGATTTACAACAGTGTTGTGAACATCTGGGCAAATAACTTCAAGTTAAGAGATCTCTGTTATTAGAACCAGTTAAAATGTTACATCTTTATTTTATTACTATATTATTTTTTTTACTCTATTGCTTCCCTTTGGTTTTACTACACATGTGGTTGCTTGCTTTGGGAGAATGCTAAGAATTTATTTAAAGAATTGTTCATTGTGGTCTAGATTAAAAAAAAAAAACAAACTATTCTTTGATGTACTGAAATCTCCAGAAGTTTAAGAAACATGCCTTAGGAAGCTCAGCTATGTGCCACTCAATTGGTACTTGTGGAATGAGTTTAAGTACTTAATGTGGAGAAGACAGGTCTTTCTTACACATTTTTTACATTTTCAAACTTATTTTGAAGGGTAGATAAACCTACATCATGACGTTACGGGAAACATTCTCTTTCTCATGGGGACAGAAAGAAAAGAGTCCAGAAGTAAGGCTCTGTAATCAAGTGGGCAGGGGAGATGAACAGGTAAATTCAGTTCCAGCACCGTCCATCCACAATGAAGTGGAAACTTGGCAGCAACCATGGTAGGTCAGAAAGACTGTTCTAGAAATATGGTCACTGCAGAGATACTCCTCAAAATGATTCCTTCGTTGAAAATAGATTAACATGATCAGAAAATATCCGTGAAAAAGAAAACAATATAAAAATTTACATTTTTTTTTCTGAGAGAATAGAAGCAAGGCTCATGGATATGCCTAAGTTTAGAGATTACTACGAATGCTCAAAACAATGTTTGCTTCATGTCCTTAGAAAATTAAAAATGGTGCTTCATATATAAAGGGTCCATCAGTTAAGCCACAGAAAGAGATGGCTGCTGATGGGCAGGTTACGGAATCAGTCCTACATTTCAGCTGTGACACGCACCGGGTTCCTTTTCTTTTACATCAAACTTCATTTCAGTTTTAACAGAAGGAAAGCCATAGATGCACAATACTGTAATCTGGAAGCTTATGTAAGGCAGCAAAAAGCATCACCCTAGATTGAACAGACTAAGTAAGGTCCACTTTTGGCCACGCTAACAACCAGCTGGAGCCAACAGCATTTTACCACACATGATATAAAAGCAAAGATCCACAGCAAGGGAAGCAAGTGGGAAGTCAGCGACGTGGTGACGTGTGACTACATTATAGGAACACGCTACAACATGAAACCCCCAATGCCATGGGTTCAATTCCAGTCAAGTGAATTAAGGCTACTATAGAACGGGCTGATGTGAAGAGTCCATTCCAACTGAGCAGTAAGAAACTGATTCACTCTTGAAGACACAAGGAAAGGTTTAGAGGAAAAGCAAGTTCTTGGAAAGATTGAAGCACACACATGCACGTTGTCTCTCAGGTGAGGAAACTGGAGAAAAATGAAAGGGGGAGAAAAATAAGAGAGACCCAAGCAATCCAACTGCAAGGCAAAGCAGGTGTTTGCTTCCAGTTCACAGTATTGCAGTTAGTGGTACAGTGAGGTGTACGGAAGTGGTAGAGAGCCCAGAGGCTGCCCAGAAGAAAAGGGAAGAAAGAAGTGGTCACATGACAACACAGCATTGACAGCGCTTTTTCTTTTGGGTACCTGGGGCTGGCTCTGTGGCCAGGCTCTCTTCCTTTCCTTCTGGGGATGAGGGCTCTGTGGTGTCTGAGACCAGCCTCCCGGACACAAGCTCAGCTGCATTCCCATCGATGGTGGACACGTCTGTCACTGTCTTCTCCCTCAATGACTTCTCATCGTCTTCGTCAATGAGGACCAATTCCGCCTTGATGGTTTCATCATAGCCTAGCACCTTCTTCGTCTCCTCTTCATCCTCGATATTTTGGTACCCCATGAAAATCATGGTGACTGGTTGATCCAAGTTGGCCTCGGGCCCTTCAGAGCTGGGGGCTTGGGGCTGCTGCCCTGGGGTCCCGGAAGAATGATCTTTCCTAGACTTATGTACCATTTCTAACTTGGCTTCTTTGCAGAGCATGTGTTCCTTCGGGTGGCCGAGGCTCCCATCTGCGATCACAGTTCTTTCTGACACGTGCCCTCCTCTGAAGCTTGATTGTCCCGCCTTCTGAATAAGCGCTTCTACATCCTTTGAGCTTAACTTGTGCACTCCATTTTCTACCACAGTGCCTCCTGAGTGCACCTCATATACTACTTTGGTACCGTCATCATAGACTTTGACTCCTCTCTGATGGACCCCCTCTGGGCCAATGGTGGATGCAGAGAGAATCTTGGTCTCTCCTGTTTGTTTGTCTTTCTCCACATTAATTTCCATGGCGTACACAGCTTGAATGAAAACAAGAGAAAGGAAGTGCATGTTACAACAAAAAAAGCCAGTGAATGGTTAATTGCCAAACAGACAAAAAAAAGGGGTTTGTGCCCTTTCTAGTCTAACTGCCAAGCATCTTGAGTGTTAGAGTGAGTGCACAGTGTGGACAGAGGTGGTTATATATGTGTTTTAACACAGCAGCTTAATGCACTGGGAAACCAGATGTACAGAGTTACCATATCTCAGTGGCACTTATACTTTTAAGGAAGATCTGCTAACGTAAGACCACAAGCGACTGTGTAGATCCAGTGTAATGAATTCCAGGGAGGCTGGCAACATGCAAGTTTATTTTGATTGACAGCTTACCCTAGGCTTGTAGACAATTTTTAAGGTCTTGGCTAAGAAGTATTGTAATTCCAAAATCTTAAATCTTTTTTTTTTTAACTCTTTCACTAAGCGTTCTACTGTTTTTTTCTGCATTTCCTTTTACTGTGAATGGAGAATATGCAAAGGATTTTGCAGGTGGGGCGCGGCTATTCTTCACTGTACTGTAAACTAGGCTGTTTGCAGGAACTGAAGTTACAAAAGCAGTCAGGTTACATGCTCTGAGAGTACTTCGATCACTGAGCTAGGTTTCTGAAACAAGAACTAGAAAAAGAACAAGATGGAGGTAGTAGCGTCCCATGGCACTGGAATTTGAGGATGATGATCACAGAAGGCCTCTTTCTTCAGCCATGCACACAGCGCCAAGTCCTCGTGACTCTGCCCCACACCGTCTTTCTCCTCGATCACCTTCTCTCTCTTCCACTGCCACTACTCAATCTGTGACACTATTTCCGCTTCCCTAGATTATGGTAAGGGCTTCCTACCAGCGATCCCCGTCCAGACTAACCCTCTCCAACTCATCCCAAATCCTGCTACCAACCTGGCTTCCTGAGACCTGCTCTCTTCTGTTCTATAGTCTTACGTGACACTCCATCCTCTCCGATCCATTACCTCCGAGGCTCCCTGCGAGGCACACATTCTGGATGCTAGGACACTGAGCGTGGGTCCCAGGAAGCCAGCTGTCCCCAGGCACGCTTTCCCTGGATGATCCATGGATTACATCAACCCCCACAACTTCAACACGGAACTCAGAAGTGGTCACATGACAACATAGCATCGACAGCGCTTTTTATTTTGGGTTCCTGGGGCTGGCTCTGTGGTCAGGCTCTCTTCCTTTCCTTCTGGGGATGAGGGCTCTAAAAACTCCCCCCTAGTCTTCTTGGTTTTAAATAGTACCAGCACCACATAGTCTCTCAAGCGAGAAGCCTCAGAACCACACCTGAATTGTCCTTTTCTTCCTAACTTCTTCCACAGCCAAACGACTGTTGTGAGCTACTAACTCCATTTCAGACCTCTCCCCATGCACCTCCTCACCGTTGCCTTGGGCCAGGCCCCCTTCCGCTCTCTGCACAACAGCTTTGCCCCAGTCCCACCTGCCGCTTCTCAGAGTCGGGGCAAAGGTAGCCCAAGGCTTGTTTTGAAAATATTATAAAAAGGAAATGGGAGGGAGGGAGGGAGGGAGGGAGGAAGGAAGAAAGGAGGGATGGAAGGAAGGAAGGAAGGAAGGAAGGAAGGAAAGGCAATTTAAGAAAGAGAAAAGGAAAAAGAAAAAAAAAAAAACAAGAACAGGTGACAGAGACCATACGTGGTCCGCTCTGTCTAAAATATTTACAGTCAGGCCATTTATAGAAAAGTCTGCGGACCCTGCTAGCCTGTGCCTCATCCCTCCCACAGAACCTTCTTCACAAACCCTCTGTGGGTTCCTGTGTCTGTATAGGAGAAACGCCAAACTTCTTAGCTTGGCATATAATTCCTTGGGAATTTGTCTGCAACTTCCTTTCTAGGCTTGTCTCTCAGTCCCTCATTCCATGTACGCTCCAACCATAGTAAACTTTGCACTATTCCCAGAACTCAGCATCCTTCCCTGCCTGGCCTGCCTTTCCCATGGGGGCATCTCTGGTTATCATTGCCTTTGAGTCCCTACCTCTTTCTGAATAACTACACGTTCCCCCAGTGTGTTAAGAAGATCCAAATGATCATTTCAACTGCTCCCCTTTTCTTTAGCATAATCAAATAACACCATCCCACACCTAAACATTTCCTGCTCCTCAGATTCCCTTCTCATGAACTGGTCTTCTTTTGAGAGTTTCTATCCATCCAAATATGACCTATCCATCAATGCCCAGTCAGTTCCCCACTTCCAGAAGGTTTCTTTGACCCTTCCATCTCTAAGTCTTCTCTCTCTTCTTAAGGCTCTCTGAACATTTCTAAACCTCTCTGAAGGCACTTAACACTTTCCACTCAGAAGTATAATTATTTGTGGGAATGTTTTATTAGCTCCATGGATCTTTAGGATCCCTAAAGGCTGGTTTTTTGCCGGACATCTTTCTACCATTTCCCCACCCCACCGGCACCTACCTTAGAGCCTTTTGCATACACGGTACCTGATATACAAATACCTGTGAAACAAATACTACTAATTGAAAATTCTGTTTTGGTTGCCTTAATCTAGTCACAAAGACTTCGTATAACATGACACCAATGAAAAGGTACACACAGTAATTAATGTTTGAACTGGTTAGAAAAACAGCAATGATACTATTCCATCTGCTTGGGTAACAAGATACAGTCTGTTCACAGTTAACACTTAACTAAAAAGACGGTGAAGCCAGATCCAATGCTTGATTTTCCTCATGTCCATTTTGAAAGTTTCACTTATTCAGCACAAAGATCTTGAATTTCTTTCAGTGACATAGTGAGAGGCCAACCGATATTTGTCATGGAAGTACATGGGCTCACACAAGGATGGTGATGTCAAGAGAAATATTTGTCTCAGTTAGTTCCTGATTTCCCACCAAGTGTGTCACCAGAGAAACGGAATAGGCATTTAAAATTGTGCGTGGACTCCAAAGCCTGCTCTTTAAATACTACACTTACATTAAAAAGCACAGATTTGGGTTAAAATATTATGTCCTGTCGCTATTAAAACACTCCTGGGACATATTTATAAGTAAGGGTGATACTAATGATTGCCAGTTATAGGTACAATATCTAATTATCCCCCAAGCACCCAGTAATATGTGAATAAAACGACACATTGATCTGTAATCAATACAGAATATGGAACAAAACACTTCTATTTTTAGATCCATAGGTGATCGGGTACAAATTATTAACATGGGAACCTTCAGAGCTGTCCGTCTTCTTTTGCCCACCAGTGAGAATGCTGTCATTGTTCGTCCGGTTTTCCTCTCTCCACCATCCTAACCCCCAACCCTCATTTTGTCTTTGCCTGTTTCCCGAGTCAGAGACGAGACAGAAAGGAGGATGAGGAGGAGTTCTGTGCTAGAACAGCTGAGTAGATGCACACAAAAAAGAGTTGAGAAACAAGGAGTTCAGCAGGAGAGAGCGTAAGAGCTGCGTGGGATATGGATGGAGAGAGATGTTTTTGTGGTGGTGGAGGGGGTATGGGGGGTAAAGAAAAGGTCATGTGAGAAGTGCTTCCGGGTGGGGATATGAATTGGAGTCCTTTTACTATCCCTCAGGAAAAATAGGTAAAGAACAGAGTCCCTTTTTAGTGTTTTGGGGTTTTTTTTGTGTGATTTTAAACCATATTTTGTTAAATGTAACATCGCCCTGGGACTGAACCACATGTGGCATGGTTTCATTAGGGTGACATATTTGTATTTATATTTACATGTTGTACACTGCTCTTTCAGTATTTCTAGAATATGGGATAGAACATCACAGGGCATTTTGCCGATAAAATAAGCCTAAATATATTATGCCATAAAATACAACATCTATCCATATTTTTCCCCCAGACAAAACAAGCCTTCAAAGCAAAACGGATTTGTAACAGATTTCGTCAGGGTCTGGCCTCACATGCTTTGTCAACATCCACTCTCCTCTCTAGGAAGGGATACTTAGGTGAACACTTTGAGAAGCTCTTACTTAACACAAAGGCAATATTTACACTTCATGGATACACATATGAGAATGTTATCAGACATTCAGAAAGCCACACAGGAGGTGTGAACATTTATCTTAAATATGCAGTTTACGAATAAGCATTTTTATTTTGCTCCAGTTCTCAGCCAATAATATTTCAAATGTGAAGCAGGGTGGATAGGAACCAGTAGGAAAATGAAACTTACATTTTAAATTCAACACTTTATTTTTGATGCATGCACACAATTCAAAAAAATCCTCCTGCTTTTTGCTGCTGCCAAGTGGTATTCACCAAAGGTCTCTCACCTACGTCATGCTCTCGTGTCTAAGCACAAAAAATACTCCCTTCTCTTCCCTCAAGCTTCCCCTGGCCACATGGGATACACTACAATCTGCGTAGTGAGGAGGGGCCGGTGCTGAAAAAGAGTGAGGAAGGGGTGCTGCTGAAGAGAGGGGGTTTTCTGGGGAGCCCTTGGAAGAGATTTTGAGAGAGCCCCATGGACATACAGGAACGTATATGAAGAAAAGCTCTCTGAAATTTTCTCCCTTGAGGAAGTTTCTGGAGGCAGAGAAGAAAGAAAGGAGACAGTCTGACGGAAGTCCCAATGACAGGATAACTGAAATCCGGTAGTTTTTACAAAACGATATATTTAATTACTGATTCCCCAACATGACATACTGATGACAATACGGTTGGAAGGTATAAAGCATTTTTGCTATTCTTTCCAAGAACCTAGACAGGGGAGTAGATGTTCATGATGTCAGTGAAGAATAAGAAACAAAGTAGTGAGTTTTGCAATGAATACAAATGAATGATGGAATTGGTGCTTTGATGTTGGGCTTCTGTGTTTGGTTTACTAGGTCCTTGCCCACCCCCCCCCCCCCGCCCCCGCCATAACCCTCTCTCAATAAGGAGAACCTTAAAGAAACAGATGCAGTCTAATGGGGATTGATAATCCTAGGCTCTAGGTTCTGGAAACAGCCAGGTGTGGATTAGACTGGGAGGCCCCTGGGATAGATA